CACAATCAAGGGTGGTCCCCTGGGCATCCACCAATCTCAAGGGTGCCCCTCAGGAAGTGCTACACTAGTCAGCCAACCCTGGCCACAGCAAAGCTCACTCGTGCTGGCAGGCCTCCCCTTCTTGACCCTACAAAGAGCACGCTAGGGCCAAATCTGGACACAGGCACTGCCGAGCCATGTGTGTCCCCACCTCACAGCTAGGGCACATTGCTGTATTGGTCTTGTCGTGTGCAAAAACCACTCACATAAGGCCAACACATGAGGTGGAGCAGGACCAAGCAGGGACTCCCACCATGCTCGCACCTTCTTGTGCCCCGCACACCGCCTCACTCTCTCAGGGAGTAACCAAACACCTGGAAGGCTTGTGACCACAGAGGAAGCAGGCACAGGATACACACTGCAGCCAAAACATCTACTTCCTTCCCAGCACTGTGTGGGAAGCTGGAGAACAACACTCATGGGAATGCTGGGAGAACCCAACTGCCCAGAGCTTTGGTCTGTAGCAAGGGGCAACCTGCGGTCTCAAACCCTTCCACAGACCCTGCCAGGGAAAGCCTTTCTACACCCAGAACTGCAGGTGAGTGGCAGCAATGCCACAGAGGCTACGCAAGAGGAGAAAGCGAAGAACCTGCACATCTGTGCACAAACAATGACTGAAATGACAGTGCCACACACCCAAGCCCCACTCCCATCTCACATCATGGGTCCTACTGCGTACATTCTCTCCAGCTGAAGGACGAGGTACAACAGCAGCAAAAGCAAGGTTTCTCATCAGTTCTGCATCTGCCTAAGCCAGGCAGAGGCACAAGGATGAAAAACCTCCTCAGAACCCTCCTGAGTCAGGGAACACAAGACCTTCTACACAGGACCCCTGTACCCTCCTCACTTCTGAAACACTCAGACCAAGGGCTACCTGTGGGCACCAGCCATTTCAGGGAACACACAACAATTACTCCCACCCCTGATGCCATGCAGAAGGCACAAGCTGAGATGCTCACAGACCGTCATTTCTCACACGGCAAGGCAACCCACGAGAGCATGGATCAGAGAAGTACCTGTAGGTGTTACAGATGGAGTTGATGGAGTTGATAGGGTGGTGGTGTATGTTGGCGTGGGTGTGGATGTGCTTGTAGTAGTCGTAGTGGGTGTTGTTGTGCCAGGACCAGTTGTCCTTGTCCCCGGGCTGCTGCTGGTGGTGCTGCTGGGGGGCATTGTGGTGGTGCTGGTGATGCTGGGGGGCTGCGATGTCGTTGTCGTGGGAGCGGTTGTCGATACGGTTGGAGAGGACACTGTGCTTGTTGTGGTTGAAGGTGTGGTTGTCGTGATGCTTGTGGTGGTAGTTGGAAGGCACTCTGGTAAGTCAGGGGTGCAGCAGACACTGATCTCGTAATTGAGGCAGACTGGCATTGGTATAATACCTCCTGTGGGCTGATCTTTATTGTTACAGATGAGCCCTGTCTCAACACTGCATTCCACCTTCTGCCCTAAATCTTCAATGGGAACATCAGGGAATTTCTCTGCTCTGCATGAAATATTCTCAACATTCACGCAGACCCAGGAAGGGTATTTTGCCAGAATATTCTCAAAGGTTTCATAGTCACCACTGTTTCTGTCAGAACCATCTGGGTAACTCACGTCAATCCAGTCTGTCCAGTTGCAGGCACAGTCTGGGGGACAACAACAAGAGGAACAGTTAGAAACAACCAGGACAGAGAAAACACTCATCAGTTCTGCATCTGCCTAAGCCAGGCAGAGGCACAAGGATGAAAAACCTCCTCAGAACCCTCCTGAGTCAGGGAACACAAGACCTTCTACACAGGACCCCTGTACCCTCCTCACTTCTGAAACACTCAGACCAAGGGCTACCTGTGGGCACCAGCCATTTCAGGGAACACACAACAATTACTCCCACCCCTGATGCCATGCAGAAGGCACAAGCTGAGATGCTCACAGACCGTCATTTCTCACACGGCAAGGCAACCCACGAGAGCATGGATCAGAGAAGTACCTGTAGGTGTTACAGATGGAGTTGATGGAGTTGATAGGGTGGTGGTGTATGTTGGCGTGGGTGTGGATGTGCTTGTAGTAGTCGTAGTGGGTGTTGTTGTGCCAGGACCAGTTGTCGTTGTCCCCGGGGTGCTGCCGGTGGTGGTGTGTGATGCTGTGGGAGTGCTCCCAGTCCCAGCGGTTGTGGTGGTTGTGGTGGTTGTATTGGTTGTCGTCTCCTGGCTAGATGTTCCCGTTACTCTGGTGGTGCTGTGGGGAGTGGATCCTGGGGGTGTGGAGGCAGAAATTGTGGTTTTGGTGGTCGGCTCCGGTTGAGTGACTCCAGAGGTGGTGACAGTCAGTGTGGTTGTTGATCCTGGTGTTGGGGATAGAGTAGTGCTGGCTGTAGACGTGGAGGAAGATAGTCCTGAGGTTGTGGTGCTGACGGTGGTGGTGTGTGACCCTGTGGGAGTGCTCCCAGTCCCGGTGGTTGTGGTGGTCGTGGAGGTTGTGGTCTCCTGGCTAGTTGTTCCTGTTACTCTGGTGGTGCTGTGGGGAGTGGATCCTGGGGTTGTGGAGCCAGAAGTGGTGGTTTTGGTGGTCGGCTCTGGTTGAGTGACTGCAGAGGTGGTGACCGTCTCTGTGCTTGTTGGTACTGATGGTTTGGACTGCTGAGTAGTGGTGCCTACGGTAGACACTGTAGTTTCCTTTTCTGTCGTTCTAGTTGTTGGCCGTGGGGTAGCTGAAGGAGTAACTGTAGTACTCGTCTTTGTCGATGTTCCTGGTTCAGTTGTTGTACCCTCTTTAAGACAGGGAGAAAAGATGGTATTTTATCTCAAGGTGGCAAATCACATTTGTTTTTCAGTTTATTTCATTTTCTAATAACCAAATCAAATTCCACAAACCTAACCATAGACTATTTAGATAGGAATAAAGCAGAACCTGTTCCGCTTTATTAAGCAGAATGAACCAAAAATGGCTTTTGTGTAACAGAGGGGTTATTAAAAAAATCTGCTACATGCTGCATCATCAGTTCTGCATCTGCCTAAGCCAGGCAGAGGCACAAGGATGAAAAACCTCCTCAGAACCCTCCTGAGTCAGGGAACACAAGACCTTCTACACAGGACCCCTGTACCCTCCTCACTTCTGAAACACTCAGACCAAGGGCTACCTGTGGGCACCAGCCATTTCAGGGAACACACAACAATTACTCCCACCCCTGATGCCATGCAGAAGGCACAAGCTGAGATGCTCACAGACCGTCATTTCTCACACGGCAAGGCAACCCACGAGAGCATGGATCAGAGAAGTACCTGTAGGTGTTACAGATGGAGTTGATGGAGTTGATAGGGTGGTGGTGTATGTTGGCGTGGGTGTGGATGTGCTTGTAGTAGTCGTAGTGGGTGTTGTTGTGCCAGGACCAGTTGTCCTTGTCCCCGGGCTG